TCTTATATGGTCATTTAAATCTCTAAGGGCTTCCTCCAAGGGCCAAAAATAATCCAGAGACACAGCAGCTGTGTCCAGCACACAGAGAGGACCCGGCCATCTGCTTTGGTTCAGAGCCCTGTGTCTGTCTGTCACTCAGACTCTCTCCCGGCTTGCTCTCCATCCTCCTTCCTGCCGCCAGCATGACCCGATTCTCCTATGCAGAGTACTTTTCTCTCTTTCACTCCAGTTCTGTACCCTCCAGGTCCTCTTCGCCTCCTGAGAGTCCACCATCCCGTGCACCCCTGGGCCTGTTCCAAGGGGTCATGCAGAAATACAGCAGCAGCCTGTTCAAGACCTCCCAGATGGCGTAAGTGACCCCCGCCCCAACTTGGCCCAGTCAGACTCACACCTCCAATGGGAGCATCAGAGAGAGGGGCAGACTTGTAGCCCTAGACCCCCTTCTAGCTGTGTCCTTTAGAGTCCAGCACTCCCACCAGGCTGGACACAGGATTGATGCCTGCTAGGAGTTGCATTCTGTCTCTGCTCAGGACTGACCCCTAAGATATCCCCAGAGATTGTGACCTGCTGCTGCAGGAGCTTCCATGGGATTGAATCTGGGGCTCTAGCAAGCTCTAAGGACTAGAGGAAGGCACTAGGGGTTAGCTTCCTCTTCTCTCTATCCCTGTCTTGTGTCTCCTCACGACACCTCCAGGAGTTCATCTGTGCACATCTAAATCCCCACCCACACTTTATTTAAGTGCTGGCTGCCAAAGCCCAGAACTAATCAGAGCCAAAGGAGAGGGCTCTGCCTGGGGCACTGAGCAAATGGGGATGGTTGGGGGATGGTACTTTCCCCCTTGTTCTGAACTCCAGAGAGGCAGTTAAAAGAAAAAAAAAAATCCCCTTGCTGGGACCCCGTTTCTGTGTGGCAGAGAGGTGGTGGCAGCTGGCCGGTTCTCATTCTTAGCCTCTCCAAACCCTGCAGCCACCACATTATCAGTGGAGCTTTGGGGTTGACACAAAAGAAAGTTCCAGTTCTAATCTCAGTACAACTGCCCACCCCTGCATGTGTGCCCAAGTCTCCCTTTTCTGCAAGGCAGCATTGGGAATGGCAAAGTGGCCTTCCATGGCCCTGTCCAGCTTGCTACTAACTTAACATGCCGGGCAACCTCTCCCTCTTCAGGGTGGGGACTTTGTCTGAACCTGTGGGGAATCTCTCAGTGTGTGACACTGAGGGCACCAGGGTCTGTGAGCCCCAGCTGGAGAGCCCCACTCCAGCTGGAGGTTCAGAGAGATAGCATTACATAGTGGGAACCTCCCTTACCAAGGACACAGGACAAGCCAGCCCAATCCCATCCACTTCAGCAGTGGCCACATACCCCATGGGGCCCTCCCTGAGATTGATGGGGTTGATCCGGTTGCTCCTGAGTGGAACTCAAGCAGGTGGCTGTGATGGTGTTGATGGACCTCCAGGATCTAGATGGTCAGTCCCTTGTCCTTGAGTCTCTGGCTTCACCCGTATCTGCTATTAATAACCCAGAGGCTGAGTGGCAGGAGGAAGTGTCGCATGCTGGAGGAAGCAGCTGGAGAGTTTGGGTGCTGGTCCTAGAGACTCCCCCTGAGCCCATCATTGCCCTTGATCCCAGGATCCTAAATAGTCATGGTCCCTACTGACTCGGTAAGGGAAGAGATTCCGGCAAATAGACAGTCGAGTGAGGGAATGGATAAATGAACAAATTGCCTTCAACGAGCCAAACAAAGACGCTCCTTGAAATCTTTTGACATTTAGAACTTTTAAGCTGCGAAGGCTTCTAGTTTATTAATGCTTCAAGTATTGTCATTTTGCAGCAGCTGGGAGTAGGGATAATGGATTGGATGGGGAGATGGGAAGGCTGGGGTGACGGTGGAGGGAGGGACCTTGGCAGGTCCAAGCCTCTGGGAGCGCTTGCCATCATTCAGTCCTGTAGGTAGCTGTGCTTGGTACAAACCCCGGGGCCTTCTTTGGGAAAGGCTCCTAGTTACTGCAGATGCTTTCACAGTTGTTAGCCATTGTTAGCACTCTGTGCCCAAGTCCCCTTGGTAGAAATAGTCTGGGTGTGACATTAGCTTCAGCCACAGAAAGCCACAGGGCTGCAGATGACCCGCCCCAATTCCCTTGCCTCCACTGAGCCAGAGGGAGGAAGCATTGATCCCAGAACAAACTGAATACCCAAGAAGGGGGGACCCCAGAGCAGGCACTGGCTCCTGCCCTCTAGCAGGTCCTGTTTACCCTCTGCCCCCC